AAAATAGCTACCACGTAAAAAGCCGGAACACCAGTTGCTGTTTCTACAAAGAATGATGGAACAATGTAATAAGAGAAGTCATTAAAAACTTAGACGAAAGACATCACCAGCCCCTTTCCTTGATACAAAGCACTGGCTTCTACGAATGCATAATGCCGCCTTGCAAGTAGTACCATAAGAAAGCAGTGACGAAAAACGGACATGAATAAAAGGCAGCATTCCGTTTCATAAGCGGCGCGTATCTAATTACAGACACGCCTATCGTTTGCGGAGCGCTAATAAAACATTTCATCAGCTGCGGTGTTTAAACTGCTGCCATTTCAGTCTACCAGCCGCCACCGTTCAACCTCCAACCTCGCCACAGACCGACAAACCGCCGGGTTCAACGCATCCTCTGCACAATGGCAACCGCCGACCGCAAACGTCCCCCCCCCCCCTCCCCACTGACAGACCTGGGCACAAACACTGAGCAGCGGCGGCGACAGTGCTGCGGACGGAGCTGGGGAGGGGGTATAGCTGAACAATACGACAGGAAAGATAGAGTGGGCCAGAGCACGCCGAGAGATAGAGCGAGCTAGAGCAAAACAGTCGACAATAACGGAGCCGCTTCACTTTACGCCAGCACAGTCCTGCTCTTAGTGTGGAGTGTGGACACACAATAGGGGGGCCCAATTCCAGTCAGTGGAGTGGGCATTAACTGGTGGTCGGGTCGGGTCACAGTGAGGACATTAACTAGTGGTCGGACCACACAGTGTGTACACTTGTCATTAGTCCGGGACCGGAGCGGCGGCGGTCGACAGGTGTTTGCTCGGCTGATGGACCGCCAACACCGACCGCAGCGCTCAGTTTAGCCGGCGCGGTGGTCCGGGTCCACAGTGACCCGTGACCTACCACTAAAGCCCCAGCCAGACACTCATCAATGGTATGGGGTGACCCATCACCATGTCATGCCCCCGCTGTCCCCGGTCAGACCCGCGACTAACCAGTGAAGTCCCCAGCCCACCTACCCTGGGTGAGTTTCCATCCCCCACAGCCCCGGCCCGGCTCTCACCATGTCGTCCATTTCGCGTCTCAGTCGGCTGAGCTCGGGGCCGATGTCAGCCGTCGTCTCCTGCGGCGGCGCCGCGGGACATAGCGGGTCGCTGCCGGCGGCCGGGGCGGTGCAGGAGACGGAGTCTGTACCGGCGGTCGGCGGAGCAGCGCAGGCCGAGGCAGCGTCAGCCGGTGACTGCGGACGTGACAAAGAATCGAGGAGTCAGAGACAGCGACAGAACTGGCGACAGAACCGGCACCTATCACACTGCTCCGTGCCGGGCACCGCCGGAAACGACGTCACAATGGCACCGCCGTGTCCCTCAGAGCGCCACAATGCAAGGTCACAGGTCGCCTCGCGGGCCGTCCGTCGGCCGAGAGAGGCCCGGCGATTAAAGCCGCTGATTACACCGCATAATGGAAAGCCCGCGTCAGGCCACGAAAAAAGCCGAGCTTTCACGTGACGGGCGTGCGCAGCGCGTGCATCAGGGGGAGGGGGAGGGGAGGAGAGGGTGAGCGGCGTGGACTGTGGGCGTGTATGGGCGACCGTGTGACTTGAACGCGAGCTTGTGACATGTCACGAACACAATTCACGTGTAGCGTGCGCCGGCTCACCGTAAACTATCTAATTACATCCTGTCCCTTACCACGGTGATTCGGACGGACCACTCGCGATTATAATGGAGTAATGATTCCATCAGAGGCCGTTCGGATCGTAATAAGCTATAAAACTGCTGGCAGAACCACCGGCTCATTTGTGAACAGGATCATTACCGGCTGGCTAAGTATAAACTCCGTGTCATTATCCGTGCACTAATGGATTGGCAGCCATCAATCAGACAGACTATCAAGTTTAGCGGCCGGTGTACGCCGGTGGCAACTCGTCCGCCGCCGCTCGGCGCGGGTACCTACCGGTCCGTGTTCCAGGTGCTGCAGCCGCCTCTGCAGCGCCTCTATCTGACTGTAGAGCCAGCGTTTCTCCTCGTCCTCGTTCACTGCGGGCCGCGCCTGGGTCTGCCTGGAACAGCGCACAGCTCAGTGACACTCTGCGCTCGGGAGGGGACTGCCGGACCGCGGAGCCCCGCACGGCAGACGGTACCGGGCTGACCCGCGCGGCCAGGGAGCCGCTACAAGCAGCTTATGCTAACGATTCAGGCGCCATGTGCGATCGTCCGAGGGATTAGCCCCACGGAATTCAGGGGCGATTTGTAGCTGTGAATCTGTGATTGCGCAAGCCTTATATAGAGCACCCTCCGACCGTTTCCGACAATGCTACCCGGCGCTGCATAATGTAGAGCGTTAGATCTCGTCGCATTCAGTGTCACATTCTCACACAAACATGGTAAGCACATGGACGATGTCGGATGACCCAAGGCCACGTCTCGCCCCAGCCGGGCGCGGCACGTCCCTCACAAGTCCTGACCCCAACGTCACGAGTCGTCTGGTCAGTTTCACCGGACAGGTAACACCCGTCACGGCTCAATCCGTCACAGAATGAGAGAGCAGCTCACAGTGAACGTCTCACGGACACGGTCGGAGCGAAACTGACCGGGGCGAGCACGGTCAACGCTATCAGACTGTGACCGAGGCACCGGGACAGCCCTTCACGAAAGGTCTCTAATCGAGCTGACCCGAGGGGCGGACAGGCTAACTCGTGAGGCGAGGGCGGTGGGCGGAGTCTGCGGCCTAAAACAGCGTCACGTCAGGGCTGCAGTCGTGACCCTGCTGTGACCCGGCGATTATCACAAGTTTACAAACGACAAAGCTTAAAGAAGGCAGGCAGTGGCAACAATTAACATACAATCACGAACTAATGTGACCCAACCCTCGCCAGAGCTGGTTACTATCCTAAAGCTCCCCGATGCCGCCCCGAGCTACTCACTGGGTACGCTCCAGCTCCGCGATCCGATGACTTCCCGCCCCAGCCTGTAACCCACTCAAAGCTCCCCAATGGCGTGTAAAGGGCTACTCAGTAGGTACTCACTGGGTGCGCTCCAGCTCCGCGATCCGGCGGAGGATGGCGGCTCGGCGAGAGGCGCGGTCTGCCCGCCGCCGGCGCCGCTCCGAACCGACTGGAACAGACACACGGCGGTCAAACAGACGATCACATAGACAGTCACACAGCAGAGCAGCTCCGAACGGTCTGTAACACACACAGACGATAAACGGCGGTCCCACACGGTCTCACGACAGTCACACAGCCGCTCAGTAGCGGTCCCACAATCGGGACTAATGGCGGAGACGATCGGCGGGTACCGGTGCCGAGCTGAGAGTCGAGGTGAGAACGGCACATGGTAGATGGACACAGGCTGACCGGTCAGACAGAGGTCACAGGACCGACAGAGCGGAGTAAGTACCTAACTGACGCTGCAGAGGAATGGAGACGGAGGAGGAATTGAAGGCAGCGACCCAGATACTAAATTACGTAAGCATGCAAGTAAACAACAGCACAGACAGCAGGACGAAGGTGCGCAATACATTGGTGACTTGCCTCCCCTCCCCCACTCATCGCGACGAGACGAGTCGACAAAATAGGTGAGATGAGACGGCAAGGCCCAATTCCAGCCCCATGCAAACACCATGACTCGGCACCGTCGGACAGCTTTTCCATCAGAGTATAATGACGGGAATCGCCCGTCATCAGCCGTTGAGGATTATCGCACCGCAGCGGCGGAGCAAAAACGGCCTGCTATCATATCAGCTGGGGCGGCTGGAGCAGCCGTCCGGTTCGCCGGGGAGATCGCTCGGTCACGGCACAGGACGGGCGGGGCGTGAGACTTCTTTCCTGGAGAAAGGGTGAGTGGGGGGAGAGGGAGAAAAAGATAGAGAGGGAGAGAGAGCGAGAGAGAGAGAGAGAAAAAGAGAGGAGAGAGAGAGAGAGAGAGAGAGAGAGAGAGAGAGAGAGAGAGAGAGAGAGAGAGAGAGTGACCAAGCCCAAGCGCGAGCCGACTCGTCGGCAAAACACAATCATCATCCGTCCACGAGGGAGGGTAAGGCGCGCGCGGATCGGTCCTCTGTGGACGCCGAGCATCCCTGCACAGTGACAGGCCTCCCATCACCAGGACCAATACTGGTATCGGCGGCGGCCGGCGGCCATGTGCGGCGACTGGGGACCGGTCGGTCGGACGGGCCCGGCGCCGGAGAGAACGGAGGGCGCCGGCTGACACGGCGACCCGGTCAGACGGGGAGCGGCGGACCACCTCCGGACATGCCTGTCGGCCAAAGCGCGCGGTCTCCTCGGCTTGGAGAGCTCCCAATTTGGAGACAGCTCGCCATCACTGCGCCAGCTCGGTCGGCCCTCCACAAAGGTCACAGGCTCGTCCTTAGACCATGTCACTGTCAAGACAGCCAGGCTGACAGCGGACACAAACTCGGCCAAACACTGAGTGACGGCTAATGACAGTCCTGCGGAGAGCTTTGGTCAATGACGGCCCGTCTCCGCGGCGCCCCTGAAGAACAGCCCCCTGTGCCGATGGCGCACACATTCTTGGCAGCGGACTGGCTCGGGGGCGGGGCGGGCGCAGCCACAAAACGCCCGGTGACAGCACGTGCCTGGGCGCACTCGCCGCCCGCCGAGTCCCCGGACGGCTAAAATTAACGCCGAGTGGCTCTGTTTGGTCTCTGGCCCTCTCACGGACGATTAGCGGCGCTGTACCGGCGCCTCGTACAGTCTGTATTCGCACGTGCGGAGAGGGAGCCAGCACTGTCTCACAGCGACAACGGACGAGCACCAGAGGACGCAGTCGGCAGCACTGCCAGCATCCAGCCATCACGGTGAAACATTGTGTAAACCCAGACCGGTTAAACGCTCCATCAGCGGCTGGGACAGCCGGGACAGCCGCTCCGCCCGGCCGAGCAGGCTGCGTTTAACGCTGATATACCGACGGCCGGCGATAGAGACAAACGGTGAAACGGTTATAGATGGCCGGCGCCGATGGTGCCGTGGGAACCTCCCACCAGGAAAATCGTTTTCCCAGTTCCACTCCAGACCATGCGGAAATCAGACAATCACTTCCTCCCTATCACATAGCGGGGCGTTTGGGCCAATTTGCAGCAGCGTCATAGCCTGGCGATAGCACCTGATGGCGTCATCATTCCAGGGAGAGGCAAACACCGATAGACGCATGGACGGACACGGCACCTCTGACCGCGGCAGGCGGGCGCCATTCACCGCAGATGACTGTAGCCGGCTAATGAATCACCCACAGTCTGCTCACACAGCCTGTCTCGGCGGCGGCCAAAGGGACAGCTGGCCACCGGCACTGAGCACAGCTGCGCCTCCTGACCACCGGCGAACCGCCGCCGGCGCCGCACCGCTTACCGGCGATCGATCCCGGCCATACGGTCCGACCGGCCGCCGCGCGCCACGCCGGGCCGTACCGAGCCCAGCTGACCGCGCCCGGTGTGCACGGCCCTCTCAGCTGCGGCGGTACAGGTGAGAAGACCCACAGCGAGCGCTACAGACGGATCACTCACCGTGAGCTCAGCGGATCACTCAGCGGAGACGTCACTCGGTACTCGGCGGCGGCGCATCTGGTCCTCAGCTGGGCGCCGACCCACCGCGGTACGGCACTGAGACACGCCCTCAGCACACTCACAGACGTCCCGTACACTGGGGACACTGCGGGGACACAGCCGGCGCCGCCGCCGCGTCTCAGGCGTGTCCGCCGCGCCGGGATGGCAGCGCGCGCGGCCGGCACTGCCGATCGATCGGGGCCGCCGGTCCGGCGCCGGGCGGACCGCCGACAGGGACCAATGGACCACCGACAGGGACCAATGGACCGCCGACAGGGACCGGTGGACCAGCGGCAGACCACCACCGCAGCTGACCGCCAGACCCGTGACCACAGCCGAGCAGCGCCTTGGCGCGCACCTCCCCACCTGCCGCTCAGACCGCTACTGACGCCGGCGTGCACGACACGCCGCCGGCCGGGCCGCCGCACGGAGCTGCCGCCGTGAGTCAGAGCCGCCCGTGTCACGGCCGCGCACACTGCCGACTGACCGCCGGACCGCCGACCGGGGCGCCCTGGCACCGGGCCGGACCCTGGCACCGCCGCCCGCTCCCGTCACGGGCCTGGCGCGTACTCAGCCGGCTGCCGCGTCCGTGACGGCTCGGGGTCACGGTCGGCCGTCACGAGATGGCGTTACGACTGGCGCCGGCAGCGTCACGGTCCACCACCGGCGGCTGGCCGGCCTCCCGCCGGCCGGTGCGACTCTCAAGTGCCCGCTCCGAGCCGCCCGCGCCCGTCACCGGCCGGTCCACAAACACCGGAGACTGTTCCACACAAACACCGGTGACCGATCCACACACACCGACTGCAGGTCGGGGTAAGTACAGTAGCAGTTGATGCACCAAACACCGGGACACGATGCAGACCGATACACAGCACACTGCACGTGCCGCTGCAGCCGACTCACCCTAGCACTTGCTCACCGCGCTCTGCAGCTGTGCACTGCCCACACTAGCGCGTCACCGACCACGCGGCCCGGCTCCCCTCTCAGCAGCCCGCGCACCTCCTCACCGCTCTGCGCCACCCACCCGACCGTCCTGCCGTCCCGGCCGGCGCACACGGCGGGACTGTACCGCTGCGCCGCGCGGCCCAGCCCGGCTCGGACAGCAGACAGCGCGCCGACGCGGCGGCGCCGCGCGGCCGCCACGCGCTCCCACGCGCTGATCGATCCCCGAGCCCGGGACCGGCAGGGAGCCGACGGGCGAGACCGACACCGACGGCCCCTAGGGAGCCGGGGCAGACGAGCCCCCTCAGGGATGGGAGTGAGCCATGCCATGAGGGAAAAACAACCGGCAATCAAACGGGGGACGGAGGACCAAGCTGTCATAATAATGCGTTACAAGGGTCTCAAGAGGCCACCGTCTTTCCAATGGACGTCGGGCGTGGCACTCCCCTGAAACACTCCACGATGAATCTAAGTGGGACGACACAACTGCTTCGATGGCAAATAAGCTTCAAAACTGCTCTCAGTTGACGGAGAAGCCAGTTAAAATTTCAGCCCAGCTCTCCACGACAAAGGAGCGGACCGGTTTGTCCGTCCACGGTCCATTCGGCCCGACAGCCCGCGGCTCAGACGTCGGAGAGGAGGGGGGGGGGGGGCAGCCTCCATCGATTGCGGCGAGCGGCAGCTGATCACACCGCCGCCGGCGCCGACGGGGTCAGAGGTCACCCGGCCCCGGGGACGAGACCAGCAGTCCAGACCCCGCGGAGGGAACTGCAGTGGAACCGTCCGTCAGCTCTCAACGGCTATCGAAGTATACGTAACTGCTGACGGGACACGTCTGAAGAGGGCGATGCATCAAGCATTCAGCCTGAATGAGGGGGCGATAGGATGAAAGGGGTCGGAGTGGCGGCTCAAATTTAGCCAACGCTCTGCTTGACTGGGAGCGGAACCAGTCAGCGGAAAGGGTAACAGTGGCAGGCCATTAGCCAGCTCGTCAAATGCCAGAAGCCATTTCTGAACAGAACGGCAGCCAATTAGCATAGTCTACATGGTTTGGGCGAGCGCCGAACTCGGTTCAAAATAGCAATCCTCTGCCCGGCCGCCGACAGTCCGCCACTGTTCATGCATACATTGAAACGGTCATCCATATGCATGCAGGCCTCGATCGCTGACCACTCTGCCGCTCTGGGACTCTGTCACTGCCGCTCTGGGTCTCTGTCACTGCCGCTCTGGGCCTCTGTCACTGCCGCTCTGGGTCTCTGTCACTGCCACTCTGGGTCTCTGTCGCTGCCGCTCTGGGTCTCTGTCACTGCCGCTCTGGGTCTCTGTCACTGCCGCTCTGGGTCTCTGTCACTGCCGCTCTGGGCCTCTGTCACTGCCGCTCTGGGTCTCTGTCACTGCCACTCTGGGTCTCTGTCGCTGCCGCTCTGGGTCTCTGTCACTGCCGCTCTGGGTCTCTGTCACTGCCGCTCTGGGTCTCTGTCACTGCCGCTCTGGGTCTCTGTCGCTGCCGCTCTGGGTCTCTGTCACTGCCGCTCTGGGTCTCTGTCACTGCCGCCGCCGCCGGCCCTGTCCCTCGGCATCTGGCGCTCCTCTCTCACCTCCCACGGAGCTGAACACATCAATCAGCTAAGTGGCCGCCTGTGTGAAACCAATGCGGCTGAGTGCTCGGCGCGGTAGCCGCGTCTGACCGGAGATAAAGCGGCGGCGCTGCCCGGACCGCTCCGCAGTCAGAGACGAAACGCAGGCCTGGCCGGCCGATAGCGCTGCACTGAGTATCAACTGAGGGCACCGTCCGGCCCTCGGGACGAGGCGGTACGCCTTATAGAGCAGTGGTGATAACAGGGAGCTGTCCCCCTGATGGCACACAGCGGCACACGGTGGTCCTGGCGCCAAGCCCGCCGAGCGACACTCGTCAGCGGGCAACTTCACCCGTGATCTCCTAAACAGTGACTTCCATCTGCCGCTCATCGCCGGTACAGTCACCGCAGCTGCCGCAGACAGGAAACGCCTCTCGACACGACACGGATGTGACTACGGAATACACGACCGCGGGCTGTGCAGACCGGCTGTATACACAGACAATCGGGTCTGACAATGCCGGGGACGGATGGAGGGCACACTACGGTCAACGAGCAGTGAATAGTCGTGAATAACTGATGTCCAACGTCTTCCCAACAATCAAACACAACTGACGCAGCTCAATTCACATTCATTCTCGCCTATTTTTTCTGCTGACATACGGTAAAAAGGCCTAACAGCCAAAACCCAAACGATGATAAGTGCCAACCAGTTGCTGAGTGCCTCCCCACTCGACTCGACCATTTACCACCGTGCCGGGCTGGCAGTGGCCTACCGGTCTCCGGAGGACCGGGCATGGCCAGACGGCCGGGGCTGGCTCCGGCCCAGACCCACTATCGATCGGTTCACGGGCTGGCCCAGAGTGCAGACAGAGGCCAACTCCCAGTGTCTGAGACTGCAACGAAATTTGGCTGTCCGCAGTCTGCACCGAACCGAACACCGAAGGTATATATCCACTATACATAGTCAGGAGACGAGCCGTATGTACGAGAGAAATCAAAGCGGCTAAGCGGCTAGAACTGACCAACAACGGCGCGATAGAAGTTTGAGAGAGAGAGAGGGAGAGGGAAAGGAGAGGAAGAGAGAGAGAGAAGAGAGAGAGAGAGAGAGAGAGAGAGAGAGAGAGTGAGAGAGAGAGAGAGAGAGAGAGAGAGAGAGAGAGAGAGAATGAAGAACGAGATAGCACGACGAAATAGCCGAAGCGGGACCGCTTTAAAGCGACAGCGCCATGTGGCGCCTGTGAACTAGGCTGCCGTGGCGCCCGCGGAGCGACCGGCCATAGCCCGTCTCCGGGACGAGGTCGGTCGGCGGGGACTGCCCCACGGGAAATGTCTCGCCTCTATATCGACCTGAACACCGGGAGACGGCCGCCAAACGAGGCAGAGTGGCGGCTCTTCCGCGTCTGGTCGGGCAGATACGGCGGACGGCTCAGCCGGGTGTCAGCGGTGCTGATGTCCGACGGAATTCGACGGAGACGGACACTCAGACCGGCAGTCATCAGCTGATTATCCCAGCTAGAGTAGATGTCGGGGCGGCAAAATGTCGGTGCGCTAATAAAAAGGCTCAGTAGGACAGCTCGCTCCATAAATGACAGCTACGGTGAATCCTCTCGGCAGTAATGGCAACAGGGGCCGATATGTCAGCCTTGCGGTACAGTATAACTTCAGGCGCATACCCCTGCTGCCACCTAGGGACAGAAATACGAACTAGGCGTGTCGAGCGGCGCAGCATACTTTCAGGCGCCTACCCCTGCTGCCACCTAGGGACAGAAATACGAACTAGGCGTGTCAAGCGGCGCAGCATAGTTTCAGGCGCCTACCCCTGCTGCCACCTAGGAACAGAAATACAAACTACGCGTGTCGAGCGGCGCAGCATAACTTCAGGCGTCTACCACTAGCGACATCTAGGGACAGAATGTGACGGTCTCGGCGCTCGGAAACCTCGACTCCGCGATAATCGCATCAAACCTCTGATGGCCAGTTCAGAGACCTTCACACCGTTCCGTGCTTCTATGCTCAGGATACTGAAATCCTTCTCCTCCACGCCGCAACCCCCCTCCGGGCTGGACAGGCAACTTTATCTCATGCGGGCTGCTCCCTTGGAGCGGTACCGCCGCTCCTGAGGGAGCGCACCCCGTAGCCGGGTGCAGTGAGTGCCTTGGGGCTGGATGGCCTGTCCTCTGGACGGGCTCAGCCCCGGCGGGCTCACTAGGGTGCCTGCCCAGACCAATGTCTCCCCCTAATTCCTATCATCCTTCCGGCTCTGCAATGGTCTTGTCAGACCGAAAGGGCCTAACCGAACAAAACAAACAAATCAGAGACCTTGTAAGAGGTGATACTTCATTACATGCACATTTTCATTAACATTCACCGACCACCGTCGTTTGTGTGTAATTCTCATCAGCAGCATCACACAAACGGTCTGCAGAGTCACCCACAATGCATCGACACCATCTACCAGCCCACTATTCCAGGTGCATTGTGAGGGCCATAAACAGCACACCTTCCCTTTTCCTCTTCAGCTACGCCCACGTCTCCCGGAGGACGTCCATTT